TTGTCAGAACAATCTTCCTAGTCTTCATTGCACTCATTGGGGATGGTAGCCCTCCGAGCACTACTATTAATATCGTCTCGTTTTTCCACATGCTCGTTTGTTGCAGGAGGGGAATCAGTGCAGAGTTTAGAAAACTTCGCCGGGGACATTCGTAAGATTTGGGCGTCCAAGACGTCTTTCTGCTTGGACATACCAGGAAGGAAATCTCTGAGCCGCAGCCGAACCCTCATGCTGCCTTGTTCTGAATATTCTGCATCTTGGGGTACACCGCGTTGATTGCGAACTGCATCCGGACTGAAGTCATTTGGTACACGGGCCTCGTTTTCGTCATTTAGCGCAGTGGATGGCATGCATGCCATGCTTTCCATGGAAAGATGACTATGGCCGTTAATGATATCTTGCACAAACCAACGAAAAAGCAATGCAGTCCTATAAACAGTCCTCAGTGACCCTGTGTGACTGGCCAGGAATTCCTCTACATTGCGGCCTTGTGTGAAAGCCACAAAGAAACTGACGGCTAAGCGAACTAGGTTGATGGTGCGATACATACGCTTGTCAGTAAAATCTTCCTCTGGTAATGGCGTCTTCCAGCTTGACATACATTTTTCCAGATGCGATTATGAATAGAGAGGCAACATTACCATCTGTGGCAATGGCAATACCAGCTGTTAGATGCTTTCCAGCGTCTCTAACAGCAAGACGAGCTCCTCCGCCACAGCTCTGCGATGCATCATAACATCCAATTTTTTTGCCGTACTCTCTAAGCACTGCCGTTTCGTCTAAGTTCCATATTAGTTTTGGGCCATTTTTTGAATTCTGGGAATTCTGAACACACGGTCTGGAGTACGGTTTCAAGACTTCCCACGTGCGATACATTTTCTGCAGCTAAACGTGCCGCAGAAACATTTTCGGAGACCCTGTACGCGATTTCTCTGTGACGGGCTGTGAAACTACGAATTGTGTTCGGGGATGGAACACCTCGCCGAAACGGGTGGCGACCGTCACTGTTAATTTTTGCAAAAACTGAGACCAGGTCGTTGTTATTGATTTCGAAGCCTTTCTTTGTGCCGACGAGTGCCCTTTGAACAATAAGCTCTTCTTCTGGCGGTGATGTAATCTGAGCAGGGCCTGGTCGATAATTTATTGGGTCAAGCAGTTTTTTCAGCGCAACATCGTCCCCTGTAGTGAAGTTTTCCTTGATACGAAAAGCTGTTGTGTTAGATACACCACTGAGCGAAGCAGTCTTCCGAATGCTGTATCCTTTTTTGAGGAGATCCAGCGCTCGGTGGCGCCGCTGTCGTTCAATATGGGCGTTTGCTATTCTTCGCTTGTGTGCTAGCGACTGCGCTCGCATAGATGGTGGCATGGTGCGTATGCGTGTCGTCAATGGCGCGTTTAGACGTGTCCTGGAGTGCGGTTTGTGTATACAGGTTCCATAGGAACTGCAGATCTGCGGGGCAATGAAAGGTGGAATGCTACGCAAGCTGGTCTCAAAATTAGGGCCGTTTCAAAATTCCCATGTTCCAAAATGCCCCAGTGAGAAGGGTACTGGCGGGCCCACTACACGCTTACTGATATCGGTCCGCTTCGGCTTCGATTCCCTCCATCTGCACGCCCTCAATTTGCTTCAATTCTCCGCCGCTTCTGCTCTCCTTCAAAGGCCCTTTACGATCACTACCAATCCTGATCACCCTGTCCTTTGGACCCACACTTCCCTTCGTTCCAGTCTCCCGCGTCCGCGCACCCCCTGCGAACTGCAAAGTACACAGGAGCACGCTCTTGGGACGTTTGTGAGGCCTCATAATTTGACACGTACTCCAGAATCCAGGTCTCCCAACAGTATAGTAGTGCGTGCTCTTGAGGGTCAAATTGAGACTTGAAAATTATGCGAAAACAGCGGTCCTTTAATTTGTGGGTTTACGCAATCAGCTTTTCAGAAAAGGATTTCACAATTTTTTAGATTTCCAATTCCAGAAAAGTGCTTTCCTGAAAAGCAAATTTTATGTAAAAGATGTGCATTACGCAAAACGACTATCCGTAACAGTTGTGAGTATTAGCATAAAAGGCTCGAAAGTCGTAATGACAAGTAGAATAGGTACTGCACAAAAACATGAGTCTAGGACGTCAGAGAGACCACTCCTACGCGCGGACGGCAATCAGGAAGCAGATATGGGAAGTTGCTGCCTATGTGTTAATGCGGAGGCGTCAGGCTAGCCGTAACAACAGCGTTTCACTTTCAAATGTCCTATTACAAGCATTGGAAGAGTATCAGAGTCATTCAGTAGAGGGTCAACGATTCATTTTACGAGCTCGCCGTATCTCTTTGTCAATTTTCTCTTTCACCCTCAACTCCTTAACCGAACGGGATTGTCTGCGTCTATTTAGATTTAGAAAAGAACACCTAATTCAAATGGTTGAAGAAATAGCGTGGCCTCCTTTTAAAGGTACTACTACACGCAACAGGTACTCGTGCAATCCGATGTTGGTGACGTGTATAATCTTGAGACGAATGAGCACTCCCGCTCGCTGGAGTGACATGGAAATTATGTTCGGTAGGCATGCTCCACAGCTATCGGAGATATTTTGGGAAGGTTTGGAAAGGTTCTTGAGTACAAGAAAAGAGCTACTTACAGGGCCAATACCAGAGTCTTTCATACATCGAAATGCATGCAGATTTGCGGCAGCCATACATAGAAAAAGTGTTGCGTTGGACAACTACATCGGTTTCATAGACGGCACTGTCATTGCCGTTGCGCGTCCCGGTGATACAGAGGCACAAAACGTGGCATATAATGGTCACAAGAGGAAACACGCGTTAAAGTACCAGGCTGTAACGACCCCTGACGGGCTGATGCTGCATGCATATGGTCCAACAGAGGGACGCAGGCATGATTGGACGCTTTATGTAAGGAGTGGAATTGACGAGATGTTGGATGAGATGTTGTTTGTCAATGGTATACAGTACTGCCTGTATGGAGATTCTGGCTACAACATACATTCATTCATGGAGGTGCCGTTCCAGGGGTGCAATCTGACAAACTATCAGAAGGCCCTGAACATGGCAATGTCAAAAGTGCGAGTGACCGTTGAGTGGATTTTCAAGGAGGTGAAGCTTTATTGAACTACCGTAGACTTCAAGCGCAAGATGCGTATAGCGGAATCACCGGTAGGAGAAATTTATTTGGCATCTATGCTTCTAACCAACATGAGGAACTGTGTTTACCCGAACACAATTTCGCAGTATTTCGACTGTGCGCCGCCTCCTCTCGGCCAATACCTCCACAAGAACGACTCCCTCCCTGCCGGGGGCCCGTAGGGCGAAGGGACCAAGTCTGCGCCCGACAGGGCTGCGGACGTCGTCCAGAAGCCCAAGGGCCCCCGGCAGGGCCTCCAGCGACATTTAAAGCTCAAAAAGGCCTGAGAATGGCCGACAGACTCCCGTAATCAGTAAAAGAACCTTTATTGGGCTACTGCAAACTTACTTCTTTCCGGCGAATGCCTCAATCATGAGGCGGAATTTTTCCATCTCGAGTTTTTCGCGCGCCTCGCGGTCCTCGCGCCTCTGCTCGCGCTCTTCTGCGCGCTCCATGCGCTCCATTTGCATGCGCTTGCGATCTGGGGCAAGGCGTTCACGCTCAACGTCAATGCGAGCCATGTCAGCCTCCTTCAGAGACTGGCCAAGGCTGACGAGACCGACACCTCCATGTAAATCGATCTTTCTGCGTTTTCCCCTCCCCTTTCTTGTCACACAAAGGACCTCCTCACCATCCGCATTTTCATCTCCACTTCCTGGTGTACTCTTCCTTGCCAAGGCCTTAGCAACCAAGGCCCGCCCAATCTGCTCCTTGCGCTCTTCCTTTTCCTCCTTCGCCACTTTGGTGCACTCCTTCGCCTTCTTGATGTCCTTCTGCGCTTCAAGAATCCCACTTAGAATCTCATCCAGCTCAGCCACCTCACCGCCAATCCCTGACATGCGCCGCTCGGAGTTTTCCTTGCGCTCAAACGCATCCATAAGCTTCTTGAACCGGTCTTGCAGGCGCTTGCACGTGACCTTAGCTGATAGGTTAAGGTTGAGATTCGCTCGCTCGGCGGCCTGTGCAAAGCTACTCTGAACCTCACCATACTTTGCGACGTGTGCATTGATAGCACTCACCTCCCTGACGATTATAAGATCATCTTCAGGGGTGAAAGTGGGGCGACGTCCAGGTTTGGCCTTCCTGTTGCTTCCCGTCGCACTGTCATCACTGGAATTGCCAACAGGGGGAGTGGATGGAGAGCGCGGAGAGGGGGTACACAAGGGAGAAGGAGACGCTTTCTTGGAGGAAGGGGAAGGGGAATTGACTTGCGCCATGGTGCGGAGAGAGAGGACGTTTTGGTTTGGGTAGGGGATGTGGTGCAGTGTTTGTCCCGTTCGGTGTCCGGGTTGACACTTTATGCCTCGAAACCTCGACTCCCGCCATTTCATCTCCACGTGTATACGTTGTGCTTGTTCTGAGTTACAGAAACGATTTCACTATTTGGTCACATGTGAGCAATAATAATCACATGCCAGGACAGAATTTCCGCAACGTGGCACAGCTGTGTAATTCTATTTCTGAAAAGCGCAATTTCAATTCGCGAAAACTGGGTGCGTAAACTCTCTATTGTCTGAAACTCGAGGCTCTGTTTCATCACTAATAATGCATCCTCCCGTTTCAAGGCGTACAGACTCCAAGTTTTGTCACCTGTCGTCGCAATCGCCCGGTGATCTCTCAAGACAGCATCGCGGAAACGTCCTGTTCGCAGCTGAAAGGGCCGCCATCACGCGTGAGAACTGCGCAGCCGAATCTGGTGTCGCTGAGAACAAACACGTTTATTGATTCTCATCTCTTGCTCTCTTTCATCTTGGCGACCAAAGTTTCGGCTGCTCTTGCTGCCAACGGACCGAGAAAACCAAGCCGAATCCAAGGATGCGCAGATGAGCCTCGTGATATCAAGTCGGGAAGAATATCAGTCGCACCATGGGGTTGATAGCTGAGGTATTGTTCTGGTCAAGCGTGTTTTTAGGTACAGCTGGGTTATTATTTTGTGCCGTCTACGCTCTCATTCTATTCTCCGACCTTACCGCGGACCACATCAACCCTGTTGAATTGTGCGAATTGATCAACCGCTTGGTTTTACCAGAGTATCTGGGACACGTCGCTCTCACAGCTGTTCTTTTGCTGAAGGGACTCCTCATCCCGGCCGTCCTCAACCTGCCGCTAATACTTTTCCATACATGGCGATACCGAGAACGGAAGCATCTGCTCGATAATACCTCGATCTTCAATGATGTCGAGAAGGAACGCCCTATTTGTGTCGCTAAGCTGGCGCATCACCTTCTGATGTTCTTTATATACCTGTACTTCTTCATCATAGCTCTGGCAGCAGCATGATGACATTTCAACTAATGAAAGCATTCTTCACTCGCACGCCGACGTTTCAGGCTCCGAAGCAGAAGCCTACGTTGAATTTAACAAAACACTTGCCACAAATACCACTGGGATCATCCCACGACTCGCTCACCCTTTCTCGTTCTCGTCTCCCACGATCCCACATGCTCCTCTCAGCCTCGTCTACACAACTCCAATCTATGCATAGATAGCTGCCGCGAAAAACGCAGCAGCAGCGATAGACGCGATACATAGCATCCCAGCCGGTATGAACTTTTTCGTCTTGACGAGGCGGATGGCAAAGACGAGAGCTAGAGCGACAGCTGTGCCCAAAGCCAGAGGCACGCTATCCTTGACATACGCGCCAGCCAACACGATACCGGCGACCACACCTGATATGATGCTCGGCTTTGACCCGCTCTTCAGAAACGCGCCGATCCCACCACCCGCGATAACTACCCCATACACAGCGATTGCGTTGCGAGCCACCTCGGCAGTGATCATTTGCACATTGCACCGATCTGCACGTGTTACCTGCGCTGGAAAACGGCGTCTTGGAGCGAACGAGGTGTTGGCAAGGCGCGTGCAGGTGGATGCTGCCCTCTGTGCCGTGAAGCACGAGCCCGGAATTGCAGAAATGAACGCCGTAGATTTCATCTTGAGGTGCTTGTTACACGACCGTGCCGGTTTTCAGTCCCTGTTCGTTCTTGGAAACTTGAGAGTAGAGAATTGGAGCTTCGGACCACCGCCTGGAATATAGTCGATTCGCCGCAGACGCGGTTTCTGTGGGGCAGCCAAGGAGATGTGATCTCAATAGCTCGGGAATGCGAAGGGAGGTTCTGATTTGATGAGAAAAAAATCTTCAGAGACAGGGAATTACAAAATTTTATCCTTACAGGGGTGTTGCTCCAGTCAACGGAAAAGTTTGTCTCTTTCACTACGGCGCAATTTGTTGAAGGTGTCTCACCACTCTCAAGATGAGCTGGACGCCCGTGAGGATTTTCATTAGTGAGAGGATAAGCGTTACTCATGCGGCAAAATGGTTCAATTTTCATTTCCTCAGTCTTGAAGCCTACCAGCCTGAAACAGAGACGTGAACTTGTGGACAACGCGACCGGAAGGCCTACTTTCACAGCTACTCACGGATTTGATTCACTGTCAACGCGTTTTCATTCGTGTAGAATAGAGTTCACGAACAGAGGTCGGGGGTGTTCGGCGTTTTGATGTTCTCGTTGATGTCTGGCCCTCACTTGTCAACCCTCTCGTCGTGGTAAACTCTCACAAATACACCTACCTCTACGCAATCATGGGCTCCATGCGACAGTACATACGGACCACTATTCTGGACATAAGTTTTTCGCGAGTACAGGGTAGATGCTACGTCTTGGAGAAGCAGCTTGAGTTGTCTTCCACAGAACCATCCCTTTTCACACATTCACGAGGTCGCAGGGCACTAGGGGCTTGCAGCAATGCAAGATGTGGAAGCCTAAGGGCAGGATGGAAAGACCCTCGTTCTACGTCTTCAGTCAATCTGGATGAGAGGAATGAGTTCTCCCGTGTCGCACGGAGCATTCGTAGATGAGGAGACCCTAGTGGGCATCGCAGTGATGCCGCTAACACGATCAGTGCTTGAGTACGCGAGATCAAGCTCGGACAGGTGTCTGTGGCCTACAGAGCCGATCTAAAGGCCAGCTTCTAAGTTTGGTGGCCTCTGCAGGGCGAGTACCCGGTTTCGAGGTGACTAGAAACTGCGAAAGAGATCGTCCTGACCAGATGCAACTGCAACTGAGGTGCAAAGAACCTTGGCGCTCAAGGCACCCGACCCTGACATCAGCCCAAATATGGTACGAAGCGTCTGACAGGGCTAACGAATGCAGGTTTCCGGCAGAATGACAAGCGCATGCAGCACACGTACTTCTCTAGTAGACTGTGCAAGTGAGTTCTTTGCAATGCAGAACATAATGTAAAAGTCTGCATTGGGCGATATTTGTGTAGCTCAGCGAAATTCGCACGTCATCATCTCAGCGGCAGTTAAGGCGATCTGACGCGCGACTCAACGCATAGCCGCTCAAAGAGCTTGTTTTCCGGTACTAAGGGGATGATCACTTCCACGAACGTAGGAAGGAACAGAGATTGCACCGGGTCCTGCTCTACACTGGCGTCAACAACTCTCTATCCTGCGACAGAGTTGTACTGCTGCACCTCAAGTTCACAGCACAGCATTGTGATACAAGCTCGGGCATGGCGTCAGACTTTTGAATGCGCAATGTGGAGGCTTGCAGCATGGTTGAACCAAAACTCTCAAAGTTCAAGTGCTCGCATACCGCAGGTCTCCACAAATAGCTGCTCAAATCCAGCGTCCTACGCCTGCTTCCGCTTCAATCCCTTCATTTTTACGTCCGGCACTTGAATCCCCCACTCCGTCCTCAGATCTTCCAACGAGTCCTCCAGGCGATCTTCGTACTTTACGGCCATCAGATCCGGCGCCCGTCGCCCGGTAGCGACAGCCCACGGTACCAATTCGGTTACCAAGACTCGTCTCTCCTCCGCCTTCAACCTGAGCGGCCCGAACACGGCGCTAATCACAGCAACAGGCAGCCCTGTCTGGGCAGCCTCAAACCACTTCTGCGCCAGCTCGCCAAGCACAGTGGTGGGCATTCCCGTGAGAACGTGCCACACATCATGTACATCTCTGTAGCGCTGGAGCACCCAGGCATCGACGGGGTCGTCGACAAAGCGCACGGCAGAGCGCGATTCTGGCGTGAAGCGGCGGACGTCCATGAACCGGGCGTACTCGCGACCCAACGTGCCGTTGGGGAGCGAGCGCATGGCGATGAGGGAGTCGCTGCCGTGCTCGGGGAAGCGAGCTGGGTGGAGCGCATCCAGCATCGAACGGCCCTCTGGGGTTGAGTTGATCCGGCGGCGTAGACGACGCAGCACCGGCTGGCTCGTTAGATCGCCGAGTACGGCGATCAGGTCGGCACGTGCCGGGTTAGCTAGCGAGACTACCGCCGCACCGGCTGCAAGGGCTGTCCGCCCGAATATCGAGAGTTGCGGGGGCATCGTCTCTGCCGCTTGTCCAGGCCTCAGCTGCACAACAAGGGTCTAACTTGTGTGGTCATGGTCTGTGAAGGTTGATGGGGTTGCTCAGTGCCCTTCGATGCTTCCTGGCGTCGCAAGAAGATACGAAGTGGTGGCACTTGCCCAGGTGTGAAGCGAAATAGGGCCCGATTCGCGATCTGAATCACGGCGGCTTAATACTTATTGACGGGCGAGCCATTGTTAAGGATCATAGATCCGGGACAAAATTAGATCTTGGAGCCAATCGGAATGCACAGCTCGGAGCTTGCCACAGTATTTCGTGCAAACAAGCTTTTCGCGCTTCTCAACCGAGAGTAGAGCCGACAAAGAGTACGGCGCAACTACCGGCCGATAGATTTCGGAATTCGTGGGGGGGCGAGGTCACTTGGGGCGAGCAAATCCGGGTTTTCATTCCAAAACGTATCGCCGATGATATCCACATGCAAGGTAACAAATTTACCGTCGCCGTCGCCACCCGCCATACCACATTCACTGCTCGCAGCCTCCCCCTCACGCGTACGTTTGAGCGATACTTCACCGCCCCACCTCCCTGATGGTAGATTGCTCACAATAAACGAGCCCTTGCGAAACATCGCATCCTCGTCGTTGTAATTGATCCCATACTCTGTAAACAACATCTCATTCTTCTCCTTGGAGCTGGTGCCCTTCAAAATCTCTTCAGACTCTCTTTGCGACTTTCCGCCCTTCACGAGCGCCCAGAAGGCCGTGTTGAACAAGTTATTGACATGCGTGTCCGCCTGGCGCCACGCCAAGTAATCCCTCAAATGCTTGGTCGTCGGGTACAGAACGACCCTGCCATCAAACGACGGCGGTCCCTTCAAAGGGACGTCGCCCATAAACTTGTTCCAGTAGAAGACGTATGCCGAAGAAAACAGGGACACGACAGTGGACAAGATCTTAGATTCACGGCGTGCGAACAGCGCGGATTGGCGCTTGAGCACGAAGCTAAACTCGTCGCTCTCTCCATAGGCAAACGCCAAGTGCTGGTCGAAGTCGCGCAGCACGGCCTCCGCCGCGGCGTTGCATAGCCGCAAGGCGCGGCTGTCGTTGGGCTTGGCAAAGGCGTGGGCCTTGGAAAAGTTGGTGAACGAGCGCCCGTCCAGACGGATCACAGCCCAACAGCCCGGGAGAAGGCGGTCGTGACGTTCGAAGGCCTTGACGTATTCGAAGCGCGAGCACGCCATGCCGCTGAAGGGGATGCCGGATGCGAGAGGGGCGGGGGGGCAGAGGCAGACGAATTGCGCAGAACGGCTGCGCCACGTCGGTGGGTCGATTAGTACATTGCTGGTGCGAAGGGGGAAGACGCGCCGTGAATATGTGGAAGAAAATTAAAGGGAAAGTGGGGTGGGCAAGTCGTTGTTGGCCACCAGATTTTGCGCGAAGCGTTTCACTCTCTCCTCTTCGCAAGAAACAACGTCAACGAGCGTAGGAATGTGCGATACAATCGCACTTCTGCCTCCTGCTGAGATGACATGAATGGCGTTTAAAGAGCCAATCTTGCCTTCGCGCTACACCTTCCTCTCCAACATTCTCCTCCAACATTCTCCTCCAACATTCACCCCCACATTTACCACCACCAACTACCCACCGCCTTCCACATATGAAGTCACTAGCTTTCGCGCAGAGTGCCATCGTCCTCCCCTCAGCCCATTCCACCTTCACGTCACAAACATCAACTCGAAGCCCGTCGCGCCTTCGCGCCCTTCACCAGCGCGCCGCGCGCATGTGCGAACCCGTCAGCGCGCCGGACAAGACCCCGGCCGTCGCCGAGGAGCCGCTCTCCGCCGCCGAGAAGACACGCCGCGCCCTGTCCGAGTCCAAGCCGCTTGTCAAGTTCCGTCGCGACGCAGAGTATCTCGATGAAAAGACAGACTTCGTCTACACTAAGGGTGTCGAGTCCGGCATCGATATCTGGCTTATCGTCGGCATTCTCACCTTTTTGGTCCCGATCGTTGGGTTTGCTATCGGCGTTGCGACGGGCAATATTGATCTTAGCCCCAGATAAGGGCGAGGGTCGTTGCTCATTCTGGTTTTTTGTCTCGGAGTACTCGCAGCGGCTTAGAGGGCGGTTTTATGTCGAATACCTCCGTTTTTGTGCATAGTGACCCGGAGTTTTGACACCTGCAACGCGCCTCATGTGTTATGTAAACTGTTTTGATCATGCGGTACCTCCTACATTGCCATCATGTGGAGTTCTCCCAACTCCCGAAACCCCCTTCATTTCAGCCCGCAGCCGATTCTTTGTAATGTACCGATTTCTTCGGAAGGCCATATTCGCTGTGAGTATCGTGGAAACCCCATGCCCATCTCACGCAGAAAAACTGTTAATAGCTGCCGCGTCTGTGTAAAATTCATCTGCTTGAATACTGGTCGGTACATGGTGATAGGAATGGGGCACCCGATTTCTTGTTGGGAAGTAAGGAGGAGAAGATGCGTAGGGCGCCGTCACCAACCTGTCATCGATCTATTCGAGCACATCGTGCATATTGTACTTGTGGTCCTACCCCGAAACCCTGAATTACACGTGTATAAACTCGTAGTTCTACAGCAGCATTTTCTTGATAACACCATCTCGAGAAGTCATCGCACAGTTCAGGCGTCTAAAACGGCATCTCAGATGTAGAGGCGCAATGAAACGAAGCGTGGAGGTTCAAGCTTAATCCACTCAGGAAAGAGGGAAGACGGCCAAGATTCTGAGCATAGCAAATGACTCTGTTCGAAGTGTCCGTGGTGTACGCGGAAATGGGTGAGGACGCCCGGAGAAATTACTTTCCCCGGGGATGACATGCAAGGGGTGTGCGTGAATCACGGAGATGGCGAAATCGGTACAGGATACCCCACAACTGCAGTGGAGGTACATTTGAAGCCCGCGATCGCAACCAACTCGCTCGAATGAGAGAAGAAAGCTTTGTTTCGGCCCCATTCATTTTGAATCATGCCCTACCCGAAGCAGTTCCCCGTAACAAGGTCCCGCTGTGAGCATTTGGATCAAGCGCTCGCAGTGTAAGCGTGATATTCTGCCACCTCGGCACATGGCACAGTATCACATACGGCAGAGAGCGATTGCTACTGGGCAATCCGAGATTTGACGTGTGAAGATGATTGCGGCTGTAGGTTTCTGAGATGGCTGTAGTGGATTTTCTGCTAACGTCGCAGGGAGCGGGAAACACGATCTTTGTGCTTATGAAAGGTAGAAATGTCTTCATTGAGGAAGTGTCGTTGCGCTTGTGAAACGATATCGTGAGGAGGAGCTTGCGCGCTAGACTGCTCTACAGCAACCTTGTTATATGTATTTAAAAGCGAGTTTGTCAATTTGCGAAGCCAAGTGTAGAATGATAGCAACGTGTTGAGAGGATGGCATTCTCTCAGCAACCTTTCATTCTACAGTTGCCGATCTGCGGCAGGCTGGCAGCATACTTACTCTAGACTCCTCGCACTCACTGAGGAATTGCTTGAGCTCTCAATCCTTGTGTGTACCATCAGAAGAGTTACGGGCGAATCTGTAAGGGACAGGACTCTATGCACTTGAAACAATTACATTGCAAGCTTTTATCATTTATGCTGTCTATTATACCGTACCTGTACATGCTTTTTCAGGCAGTTAGCTGTTCAGAGTCTTGAGCGGCTATTGTGGCTCACGTAATCGAAAGCAATTGGAGCCAGCAAGTGCGGTGGGTATCCAAATGAATCTACAAGGTGCAGGACATGTGGTCGAAGCTGCATACAGAATATTTGCACGTTGCTGTGCACATTCTGCGCATCCTTGGCAGACAGGGCTCCGTTTCGCAGGAAAATGACCTGGGAGTCAATCAATCTCGCAGTGTGCAAAGCACCACAGAGGGTCAAGATGTTCACAAGCTCGGTTTCACCGCGACTCTTGAGGTCTGAGAGTGTTTGGTGGAAGAGTTGTAACATCAGCAAGTCGACATGAGCACGGCCAGCGTCCTCGACCAAAACTGCGGAGTGGTTGAAGGCTTGCAACGAAGACATTCCGGCTGCGATCTTCTTCTGTATCTCTGCAGCTAGCCTGGCGAAGAGCGCAGCTTCTCTTCGCCTCATTACGGTGAGTGCGTACATAGCTGACCGAGGGTCCGTAGTTGACAAATCCACCCTCCTCAGTGCTTCGCGGTCGTTGAGGTACGAAAAGTGGCCTTCGAAGTTCCCATCGTTTTTGAAGCCGCGTACAAACTCTGGTAAGACTGCCTTCGTTACGGTTTGCAACAGAATATGGTTGTCTCCTTCATATGTAAGTGCGACGTCATGGGTACTCTTCAACGGGGCAATCCTGTTTTCAGCTTTGTAGCCTTGGCCGCCACATGCCTCTCTTGTCTCCTGGAGAGTACTGAGAGCATGCCATGAGATGAGGGCTTTGAATCCGGAACTCCACACATGCAGTTCACGCCCGAGCTCTCTACGCTGCCATTTGGACTTGAGGTGATTAAGAACAAGCTGCATGACGAAAGTGGTTGCGAGAGGCGGAATCAAGCGTGTCTGGTATCCTGGGTAGTCCATCAGCCGGGTCTCTTCCTCGCCGGGAGGTCCGAAGGCCTTCCGCGACAAGCCATACCTGATGGCAATCGTGAGTCCAAGTTTTGCCTGAATGAGTGAACCAGCCGCAACACTGACACGGCCACCAGATAGGGACGCGAGAGAGGCACCAAATCGCTCGTCAGAAGATTTGAAATTGCAAGTGAAATTTCCGTCTACGGACACTTGGGAATGTCGTCTAAGAAGGTGGTCAAGAGGCACATGCAAGTTGGAGAACCATATTCGACCGTTGTCAACACCATTCAGACCACTCTTGGCGCCACAGTCACCCATTGTCACTCCCTTGACCGGGGTGCCATCTTCATTGCGAATCCGGACAAGAAAAGGGTGAACGCCGTGACAGACGCCCTTGACGTAGAGCTGGGCAAACAAAGCTGTCCAGCGTGCTGATTGGAATGCACCCCCAATCCAGTACTTCTGTGCCTCTTCGCATGGAGTGTTTACAACGAAAGTACGAGAAGGGATATCGTAGACTGCTGTTGTTTGGATACCCTTGACGTTAGAGCCATGGCCGAGCTCTGTCATGGAGAAGCAGCCGAGCATCTCGCAGCTCTCAATCTTGGGCATCCACCTTGCTCCTTGGTCATCGTCACCCATCAAGCTTACTGTTCCTCCGAATAGGCCATAGTGGACCCCCATTTTGATGTCAAGGCTGTGGTCAATGGCACCAACCGACTCTAAGGTTGCCTCATATCGCTGGCGTCCCTTGACTGTAAATATGCGAAGGGCTTCGTGGAAGACGCCTGTCTTTGCGATGAGACGCCATCTCTGAATGGTTCGGGCTCGTTCTTCATCGAGGGTCTCGTTGTAGCGGGGAACGAAGACTGGGTTTTTGAAAAGCTCGTAGAGACTGTCACGGAGCTCAAAATTATTCATGTCAAGCAGCTCACGCATCTTTTTTGTGTCAAACGCGGGACGAGCGGCAACGACACCGGGCGGGAAGGGAGGGACACCTGCGCGTTGTTTGGCCGCTGCGTCTTCTGCCCATTGTCGGTTGGGGAGAGCTGCAGACGGATTGCGCACGGAGGGCGCGTTAAACTCTGCTTCGAGCAAGTCGAAAGTAGCATCGGAAACATTCATTCTGTGAACGCAAAATTGTGGGTGAACTAGATGGATAAGATACCTTCTTGACGTTTTCGGGGATAGAGGGTGGCCTGTGGCAACCAGGACAGATGGGAACGGCCTTTATACGAGTCAGAGGTTCAAATTTTCTTTTGTAAAACAGCGGCGTCATGAAGAAACAGGATTTGCAGCGTCGAGAACAGCTTTTGTAGGTAAGGACCGGTTATGCACGCAAACATTTCAAAGTGGAGGGAGCGGAGGTGTGGTTAAGGCTCATGTGGAAGATTGGAGGAATCTTGAGATTTTTGCACGTAGTTCACAATTCGTTGGCTGCTGGGTTTTCGCATGAAACCCATGTAACGTATTAAGTGGGCACCAATGAAAGAGCGACTGTCGGATGTCACCTTGGGACCCCTCACCAAAGGAGAACTGAAGGCGGGACCCAAGGCGGGAGTGGTTGCCAATAGACACGACCACAGAGGAAGGACAGCATGTGCGTACCCGTCCGCAGAATTCGCTTTTCGCATGCCCAAGGAGTCCTGTACGGTCACAGGCTCCACCTGGACATACTCTTTCCGCTTCCTCTACTTGACACTTATTTTTGGGGAACTTTCCACGGTGAATATGTGTGTCACGAGGCCCCGTGAGATACAACGAGATAGGCTTCAGATGGACCAATCACAGCGAAGCAGTGTCCAAACACTCATGAACGTGTGATCTGTATACACGTGTGGTTTTGCAATTTGACTGCCCCCGCGCTGTGGTTTTGCAATTTGACTGCCCCCCGCGCTGCCACGGCGATACCTGATCAGCGCCTCTACGCATGAACATAAATGGTCCGCCATACTCTCCCCCCGTCACATGCCCATTAGACCTTCTTATCAGTTACTGAGAGGCGATTTAGAGTTGTTAAATGTGACAACCATCGATTCCGCAGCGGAGGTCGTCAAACGAGGTCTCCCATCGACGACGCATAATGGATAAACTCTCTCGACGCACACTCACATAAAGCTTTACTGTATTGTGCCTTGCACAAATATCTTCTCACTGCAAAGATACAGCGTCACACTGTGCGTCGGCAACAAGAATTCCAACCGTCAAAGAGATTTATCTGTACAGTACCCTTTACAGAAGGGTACTCTTTCTTTTCTATCTGGCTGTACGAAATCTATCGCGGCGATCGCCATTCACTCTACTGGCCCCGTCTGAGGCTGAGATTACGTTTTGTTGACAGATATGAATGAAGGGCTGACATCAGCCCTTCATTCATATTTGGTGGCTCTCCCCCCGAACTCTGAAATTGAACTGTTCCATGCTTAAACACACACGTTTCAATTCCCTGCTCCCACCTCGTTTCCTCCGCACGACTGTCTCGCGACTTTTGGTGGATCATTGCTGCTACAATGCCACTTGCTTTCAGTCAATCCTTGAACTAACTTTACAACCTTGCTCACATCAATCATGACTCTAGGTATTGTCTTCATGAAGGTACACATTTGGACACGGAATGTGTCTACCCACATGAGACCCACCCTTCCTGACGATCAAGGAATTGGAGCCCCCTCAAAAAGAAAAGTGTTGCTTTAAGCAACTATCGATAAGGGAAAACTTTTCTCCATCTCACCTAGTAGCTTGTTTCACGATAACAGTGATCATCGTGGCCATCAGTACCCCCTAGTCCTATGCTAGAAGAGCAGGGGCACACTCTTCCATGGCAAAACTGTTCGAATTGTTGATCACACGTCCAGGTGGGTAACGTGGGGAAATTTATCCAGCAATGCATTGGTCGAAGCCAAGGCTCAACTTTGCTCTTTACACTTCAATCTAAACGAGCAGACCTTGACTGATTGCAGAGTCGCCACTAGGTATTCTTGAAACTTGTGTGTGCTTTTTCCTTCTTTCTTATTGCAAGTACATGCCGTTGAATAGGGGTTTTCTCAGAATACACACAGCATTTTCATGAATACCGACTCCTTTCTTTGATATTTGTTTGTGGCATTAGATGTTCTTTCACGCAAGGCTACAGACGATATGGATATTCATATACTCTTGGAATGCCTATGGATCTTTCTTTCCAAGCTATATGTAGGTAACAACGAGAAATACACGTTGGCGAAAAAATCAATCTACTAGTTTAGTGCACAAAAAAAAGTCGCTTCGATTTCAACCACGTGCACTTGCCCATTCGTAAGTCCCACAACCACGTAGCCAACACAAAAATATTTCTAGCAGCTGTTCTTCAACATCGTTTCTGATTCTAATGCTGAAACTGACCACCTGGCATTCTATTGAATATCAATCCATTCCAGCATCGCATGGTGTGCCTCTACAAACAGTTCTGCTTCTTCATCATCAAAGACGTTCATATCAAGATGATATTGAGACGGACAATTATCGTCCTTGTATCTCTGAAATCCACTACTGGGGTATGAACGAGCTCGCTCTTCCGCGTTGCCGGAAGAACACACAAAGTATGGTTGCCCAGCGTTGAATCTACCCGTCAATCTGGACATCCTGAACCGCTCATGAGGCCTCATCAATTGCACCGCTTCGATAAACGAAGGAATGTCATCTTCGACTCCTTTCCAAAATATATCATCCATAGACTGCCCTAAGCTCTCATCAAAGCTGCTCAATTCTTCCGCATCGAGCGTAGGCTCCAGTCGTGACACTGAACAAGGAGAAGTGGGCGCTGACTCTGGTGACGCCCAAATCTTCTTGATCGTTGCGTCTACCGTTTGGGTGAACTTGGATGACTCGAAAATTAAAGGAACAAAGCTTCTTACCGGTTCTGAAAGCATAGGCTTAACCATTTTCTCTTTGTTTGTTGCTTCAGTGTTTCGTATTGAAACCAAGCAGAGAATGGTTTTCTGGAGATAGTACGGAACTAGTAAGAACAAGAAGGAAAGTCACTGATCTCTCGCAAAGCAAATAGTGTGAATGAACTTGAAAGAGTTTGGCGTCGATGGTAATGCAGGATTGAAAAGGTTTTATGGAGTAGCAGCTCGAGTCCTCGGCAAGTAACACATTATCTTATATAGAGAAGGCTCGGCTACAGATGAGGCTCCCTCAGGTTGCATATGCCCGCGTTAATTTGGTGTCAAGAGCCCAAACGCACGTCCGAAAATTGACCAGAAGAACCATTTTCCTTTTCGAAACCACTCATTCGCCAAGAGACCTCGAAAATCAGGCGCCCTGTGAATTCGGAAAAAGCCTTATAAGGGAAACCGCTATGCTAGATAAGCGAATATTTTCAAAGCTACGATGCGGGATACGCATTATGCATTTCAATGTATCACAGTGAAACACACATGAATCAGAATGAAAGCTTTTGTGAGATGTATAAAAACAATTGCAAAATAAAGGCAGATGTGCTTGTTTTGCCCTCTATAGTGGAATTTCATGTCGGGGTCTCATTGTCGTAACCTCGATGCTTCTGAAATGGTATTTTTCATTTTTTCCGTGCACCCTAAAAATGGATATCCTTTTATCATGATGGCAGGGGTACGCAGAAGGATTAATATGTGTTTTAGATAGAGATAGAGTAGTTCACTAAAATTTAATGATGGACATATTGAGAAGGGGTACGGCTTCACTTCCTTCTTTTAATATCCTCCGTCGTTGCAATTTGAACCAATAGTTCGAGTAGAGGTTGGGAAAAATGGGAAAATGGGTTGTTGAGTTAAGCAAATATTTCTTCAAATAGTAATGGGATAGTAAACAACCTAAAGCACATAATTTTGAACACGAATATCGTACCTCTTCACACTTTCCTGAGGAAACTGGACTATTAGTAGCCTAAAGGACAGAAAATGTTACATTTGATACCCTTCAAGTGTATTTAGAACCAAGATTTGCAGCAATGATACAGTTTTGCCGAGGATAATGTCTTCGGTGGGTTCTCACCCGCGGCCTGATTAAACGTTGAAAACTATAGCATGTTAATGCTTGCGGATAAAAAAGTGGTCTAGGTATGCAAGAAATAAAACCAGACTATTCACCATTCTCGTGGAGTAATTGTTTGCATGGATTGCCATGGGGGACAGAAGCAAACCGACATTCTCAGATTGAATGCTTCTGTGTGGACGATATAGATGAGAGTATACTTACGGAGAGAGAAATTCGCCAATACACAAATGGAATGTAAAATTCTCACTCGCCTGAGCATGTAACGGTTGTAGGAGAAGCACAGTATGTATGTCTTTCTAATTTTACTTCGTGTGAACATACGGTGCGTGTCCTTCCCGAATGTACTGACTCCTCCATTCTTAAGAGGATGGCATAGAACTCCAATATAATTTCTATGCCATACCTGAAAGAATTGTCAAAGGAGGAGTACAGTATCCACTAGTATTAAAGAGGATGGTCTGGGAAATTGAAGGCATGGACATAAGCAATTGTATGGAGATTAGTTATAGAGTGAAAGGATAGTTTATTGTAGTCTAGCAGGTACTGCATTGTTCTAAGCTTCAACTACGATTTCTATAAAAGGCGCGGCGTTCGGATGGAGAAAGCAAAAGGGGCGAGGCACAACCACTCACTAACCCTGAGAGCCACTAAACCTGCAACCCCAAGTGTGTCCAACTTAAGAACCGCTTTGCAAAAACCATTCAACACAAGTAAGTCTCTCTGCTCATTTTATTAACCTTGCGCATCGGCGAAAGTGGTAGCATCGCCAAATCGATTCTAACCCTATTTTTACCAAACTTTTTGCAGTGTGCGAAATCAACACCAAAAGGACATATTACAAATGTCGCACAAGCAGGACCAATAGCGAGCCGGAACCCAATATCGTCGAAAAGGGCGAAATTACACTTCAGAGCCAATCTTCCTCGGCTAACAAGAGGGCACCACCACGGCCGGCTGAAAAAGAGTTAATTTTTAATATTGCACCGTGAAAGGGTGAGCACGACCTTGGGTCTACCTTCGAGCTACCTTCGGCTAATTTGGGACCGAATGGAGAGAAGTGCCCCACTTATCAACTTAACAAGCCGTACAACCAATCGTGGCAGGAGCAC